TCCTTCTTCCTCCTCTTCTCCTTCTCCTCCTCAATCTCTTTTCGTTCTTCTCCTTCTCCTTTTTATTCTTATTCTTATCCCTCTTCTTTTTCTCCTTCCTCGTCCTTTGGCTCTCTTCCTTTTCTCCACTTCCCCACATCTTTTATTTTTCAAATTCTTGTTCTCCATTTTCTCGAAGTATAGAAATGATTATTCTTTTTTCTCCTTCACTTTTCAGAAGAAAAATCTTTCACTCCCCGTCGCTGGATTCCTCGGCTTAAACAGAGTGTAAGTAACAATAACGATTCAACAATAATTCAACAATAACTATTCAACAATAACAATCTAACAATTACAATCGACAATAACAAGTCAACAATATCAATATAACAGTTACAATCAATAACAATTCAATAACAATCAATCAACATAACAATTACAATCAACAATAACAACAACAATCAATCAACAATAACAATCAATAACAATTCAACAATAACAATTACAATCAACAATAACAATTCAACAATAACAATTACAATCAACAATAACAATTCAACAATAACAATTACAATCAACAATAACAAATCAACAATAACAATTCAACAATAACAATTACAATCAACAATAACAATCACAACAATAACAATCAACAATAACAATTACAATCAACAATAACAATCAACAATAACAACAACAACAATCAATCAACAATAACAATACAATCAATAACAATTGCAATCAACAATAACATTCAACAATAACAATCAACAATAACAATTCAACAATAACAATTACAATCAACAATAACAATTCAATCAACAATAACAACAATAACAATTACAATCAACAATAACAATTCAACAATAACAATTACAATCAACAATAACAATTGCAATCAACAATAACAATTACAATCAACAATAACAATTACAATCAACAATAACAATTCAACAATAACAATTACAATCAACAATAACAATTCAATCAACAATAACAATTACAATCAACATAACAACAATCAACAATAACAATTCAACAATAACAATCAACAATAACAATTCAACATAACAATTACAATCAACAATAACAATTCAATCAACAATTCAACAATAACAATTACAATCAACAATAACAATTCAACAATAACAACAATCAACAATAACAATCAACAATAACAATACAATCAATAACAATTACAATCAACAATAACAATTACAATCAACAATAACAATTCAACAATAACAATACACAATAACAATCAACAATAACAACAATCAACAATAACAATTCAACAATAACAATTACAATCAACAATAACAACAACAATAACAATTACAATCAACAATAACAATTACAACAATTCAACAATAACAATTGCAATCAACAATAACAATTACAATAACAATTACATCAACAATAACATTCAACAATAACAATCAATCAACAATAACAATTCAATAACAATTACAATCAACAATAACAATTCAACAATAACAATTACAATCAACAATAACAATTCAACAATAACAATTACAATCAACAATAACAATTCAACAATAACAATTACAATCAACAATAACAATTCAACAATAACAATACAATCAACAATAACAATTACAATCAACAATAACAATTCAACCAATAAACAAATCAACAATAACAATTCAACAATAACAATTACAATCAAATAACAATTCAACATAACAATTACAATCAACAATAACAATTCAACAATAACAATTACAATCAACAATAACAATTCAACAATAACAATTACAATCAACAATACAATCAATCAACAATAACAATTCAACAATAACAATTACAATAACAATAACAACAATAACAATTACAATCAACAATAACAATTCAACAATAACAATTACAATCAACAATAACAATAACAATAACAATTACAATCAACAATAACAATTCAACAATAACAATTACAATCAACAATAACAATTCAACAATAAACAATTACAATCAACAATAACAATTCAACAATAACAATTACAATCAACAATAACAATCAACAATAACAACAATCAACAATAACAATTACAATCAACAATAACAATTCAACAATAACAACAATCAACAATAACAATTCAACAATAACAATTACAATCACAATAACAATTCAACAATAACAATTACAATCAACAATAACAATTCAACAATAACAATTACAATCAACAATAACAATTACAATCAACAATAACAATTACAATCAACAATAACAATTCAACAATAACAATTACAATCAACAATAACAATTCAACAATAACAATTACAATCAACAATAACAATTCAACAATAACAATTACAATCAACAATAACAATTCAACAATAACAATTACAATCAACAATAACAATTCAACAATAACAATTACAATCAACAATAACAATTCAACAATAACAATTACAATCAACAATAACAATTACAATCAACAATAACAATTACACAATAAACAATTACAATCAAATAACAATTCAACAATAACAATCAATCAACAATAACAAACAATTACAATCAACAATAACAATTCAATCAACAATAACAATTAACAATCAACAATAACAATTACAACAATAACAATCAACAATAACAATTACAATCAATAACAACAATCAACAATACAACAACAATAACAATTACAATCAACAATAACAATCAACAATCAACAATCAACAAACAAAACAATAACAATTACAATCAACAATAACAATTACAATCAACAATAACAATCAATAACAACAATCAACAATAACAATTCAACAATAACAATTACAATCAACAATAACAATTACAATCAACAATCAATACAATCAACAATAACAATTACAATCAACAACAATTCAACAATAACAATTACACACAATAACAATACAATCACAACAACAACAACAATAACAATTACAATCAACAATAACAATTACAATCAACAATAACAAATCAACAATAACAATTACAATCAACAATAACAATTACAATCAACAATAACAATTACAATCAACAATAACAAATCAACAATAACAATTACAATCAACAATAACAAAACAATAACAATTACAATCAACAATAACAATTACAATCAACAATAACAATGCAACAATAACAATTACAATCAACAATAACAAATCAACAATAACAATTACAATCAACAATAACAATTCAACAATAACAATTACAATCAACAATAACAATTACAATCAATAATAACAATTCAACAATAACAATTGCAATCAACAATAACAATTCAACAATAACAATTACAATCAACAATAACAATTCAACAATAACAATTACAATCAAACAATAACAATTCAACAATAAAACAATTACAATCAACAATAACAATTCAACAATAACAATTACAATCAACAATAACAATTCAACAATAACAATTACAATCAACAATAACAATTCAACAATAACAATTACAATCAACAATAACAATCAACAATAACAATACACAATCAACAACAATAAACAATTACAATCAACAATAACAATTTCAACAATAACAATTACAACAACAATAACAATAACAATAACAATAACAATTACAATCAACAACAATAACAATTCAATCAATAACAATAACAATCAATCAACAATAACAATTCAACAATAACAATTACAATCAACCAATTAACAATCAATCAACAATAACAATTCAACAATAACAATTGCAATCAACAATAACAATTCAACAATAACAATTACAATCAACATAACAATTTCAACCAATAACAATTACAATCAACAATAACAATTCAACAATAACAATTACAATCAACAATAACAATCAACAATAACAATACAATCAACAATAACAATTACAATCAACAATAACAATTCAATTTCAACAATAACAATTAACAATCAACAATAAAACAATTCAACAATAACAATTACAATCAACAATAACAATTCACAATAACAATACAATCAACAATAACACAATAACAATTACAATCAACAATAACAATTCAACAATAAACAATTACAATCAACAATAACAATTCAACAATAACAACAATCAACAATAACAATTCAACAATAACAATTACAATCAACAATAACAATTCAACAATCAACAATAACAATCAATCAACAAACAATCAACAATAACAATAATCAACAATAACAATTCAACAATAACAATTACAATCAACAATAACAATTCAACAATAACAATTACAATCAACAATAACAATTCAACAATAACAATTACAATCAACAATAACAATTCAACAATAACAATTACAATCAACAATAACAATTACAATCAACAATAACAATTACAATCAACAATAAACAACAATTCAACAATAACAATTACAATCAATAACAATTCAACAATAACAATCAATCAACAATAACAATTCAACAATAACAACAATCAACAATAACAATTCAACAATAACAATCAACAACAATAACAACAACAATAACAATTACAATCAACAATAACAATTCAATCAATCAACAATAACAATTACAATCAACAAAACAATTCAACAATTTACAATCAACAATAACAATTCAATCAATAACAATACAATCAACAATAACAACAATCAACAATAACAACAATCAACAATAACAACAACAATAACAAAAATCAACAATAACAATCAATCAATAACCAAATAACACAATAACAATTACAATCACACAATAACAATAACAATCAATCAACAATAACAATTCAACAATAACAATTACAATCAACAATAACAATTCAACAATAACAATTACAATCAACAATAACAATTACAATCAACAATAACAATTACAATCAACAATAACAATTACAATCAACAACAATTCAACAATAACAATTACAATCAACAATAACAATTACAATCAACAATAACAATTACAATCAACAATAACAAATCAACAATAACAATTAACAATAACAATCAATAACAATCAACAACACAATAAACAATAACAACAATTAACAATCAATCAACAATAACAATTACAATCAACAATAACA